AGGTTCTACCAGGACACTAACATCGGCCTGAGCGCGCGTCGTGATATCGACACCTGAGTAGAATAGCTTTCACCCGCAGAGGTTCAGGATTTCAGGTCCCTGGCGCTTCGTTGACGAGAGTCCAACAGTGTCGAGTTGGTACTTTAAGGCCTCATTTACTAACTCTTGTTTTTTCCCTCTGAGTTAGGATATATTCCAGATTCTGAGGTGCTATAATGGCATCGCGCTGTCTGCCTCCTCCTTTCAGAACGGATAGCGACTCCATTGCTGACTTGTATCTTCGTCGTTCCGTCGATCTTTGTCTGCAGCTGTTGTGTTGCTACACCCCCGTCTGGCAGAGGGCGATGAGCAGATCCTGAGGGTCGACTTTTCACGGTGTACATCAGTCCTCAAACATTTTGCCCTGCCCTTGGTAACCCTGGCGACAACCTCACCGGTATAATTTTCAATGATCGATACCATAAATGGCAGAGGGCGAGCTTTTCCGGAGACTTCGCTGCGGTTTCCAACCCTCCTCCTTTCTCAACCGGGCTTGGGACCGTTAACGGCGGAGTTTTTCATCACTGATGAAAATGAATGAATTTTTATCATCGTCTTTATTGATTGACTTACTCCTGTTTAGGTGACATTGGATCCTCCTCCCCCGGAGTATGAACCTCTTGAGTTCGTACGATGGCAGTTGTTTATTTATCGCTCTTTAATTCAACTCTTTTCACGTCAGTTTTTCGAAGACCTATAAGAGTCTCAATTATATCGCTGTTCTCATTTTTTACCGTCTGTCATTATCGTTGTAACTAACATCTGGTACGTAATTTAATGGCGAGTTTGCGCACAGGGCCTATCTAGGTGAAAAGTTGACAGCTGGTACGGATCTGTTTTATGCCTGTCTTCCATCCAAAATTTAAACTAGCTTGTCTTGAAAACGTTCAGAGTTGATGTGGCTTGGCATTTTTCTCATGAAAGTGTTTCTTGTCCGGATTGAGCAGACAGGCACGTTTGTAAAGACGAACCTTCTACCTCGAGATCAAGGGGTGAGTTGAATTTCTGGTAATGCATTGATTGATTATAGCTCTTTATTCATATGAATTCCACGTAGTGACAGTAGCGATGTGTTGTCGAAGTTTGTTAAACTCCTGTTTTTCTGATCCTTTCTCTTCTGTTTATCTTTCTTCTTTCATGGCCCTTTTGTCTTTTTCTTTTTCCACTTTTCTTTCTTGTCTCTAACAGTCTGATTCAGGTTGATTAAAGAACATGGTGGGGAGAGTTGTACACTGTGCCTTGTTAGTGAGTGAAGTCTGACTCCAAGCGCTAACATCTTTTTAAGTACATCTGTGATTTTGTGAAGGAACGACTCAGAAGGGAAATCGCTTCACTACAGCTCTCATCATTTGAGAGAATCTAATTTCTTGCTTCAGTTTTCCAGCGATAAAAAACCAATTCAGAACATGTTGTTATCGACGCGCATAACATTGGGTATACGTTAAACAACTTCCAGGCACCGATGAATATATGAGGTCAGGTTCTAATTAGTCTCAGTAGGAAGTCCGAGGATGGCAACTTTAAACTATTCTTCTTTTCAGCAAAGCTGTTCTAAACGTGGTAATGAATTTTCTCCTTTTTCCCGATGCTTCATCTTCCGTCACAGAAATCCTGATCAGGATTGTTCACAAGCAATAACGCAGGGAGCTTAAACATCAGAATACAGATGAAAATCAGCATCCCCTGCAGTCGTGGTTTTGTTGAAAAGGTAGTGTAATTTGCGTTGGCGTTTATTGAAATGGATTTTCTATGATAATGATCCGTTTAGTCTCGCCGTATGGAGTTTTTAAGAGGCTTGTTGTCTTTATTGATAAGCATTTCAGTGGAAATAACTGCATACTGTTCTTTAAAAAAAACTTTTTCAGAAAAAGTTCCTCTGTGCATCAAAAAACCTGACCATGCGGTACGAATGGAAGAACTACTGTATTCTAACACTTCTGACACTCCTCAAAAACTTCTTCTGGAAGCGGTAAGTTTCACACACCCATTCTATACGTTCTAATGCTGTGAGAAAGAATCAAAAGCATGGTCGTTCTCAATACCCATGACTCTCATCGCAGTGAAATATAATGTTTCATGGAAACAGGTTTCACAGCTGATGCGTGTCGGCCATCATTAGATAGAGTGCTGTTAAACTGACGCGGGATGACAGTGGCTTTGTACTTTAGAGATGCCGGGCTGAAGTTCCATGCAGAGCGTAAATTTTCTCATTGCTTGCTATTTCCTTTGAGCAAGGAATTTGCCATCACCCCTCCCCGACCCACACTGCTTCTGTCCAATCGGCCGAAAAACAGCCACTCTTGCGAAAGTCGGGACAGCGTGCTGTTCTGGCGTGATCATATTCCGATTATTAAGTACAAAGTAAAATAATAGGTTTTCGAAGTTAATAAAGCGCTAAACAAGAATTAATTGGTGATTCTGCCATGTCGACTGCTTCTATGTAGCGCATTGGTTTATTTTGCGGAACGCGCAAGGTTTCTGTAAGTGCGATTCCTTTACTGATCCGTTTGCAGTTAACACGCCGAAGATCGTCTGATAAATCAAGCAGTCAATCAAATATATTTGTTTGAGAATGAGTTTTCGTTAACAAGGTAGTTTCATCACAGATTACAAACAGTAGCTGTGCAGGATACGGATGATATGGTGTAAAGTTCAAACGCAGGTAAAGAAGCATTTTAATGTTTGATCCCTAATGGTTAGGTTCTGTGCACTCAGTTTTGTCCCGCTGAGAAATGTCGAAACGGACTGACGTTACGTTGTGTACAGAACCGGGGTTGCTCAGTCGGCAGAGTATCAGATCCGTGACCAATGGGTCATTGGTTCAAGCCTCTTTCGAGTCACTTGCTTTTCTTCTTTCGAAGGGTAATGAGTACAACTCAGTGGGAAGGAAACAGGAGACTACGACGATGCTTCTCACATAACTGCTTTCGACTCTACCTTTAAAGTAAGACACGTCTGGCTGATGGCATAGAAACGGAGACCAGCCCTTCACCATTAACTTCATGAAAAGAAGGGCATCATAAATCGCTCCATCATGAAAGAATAAGGTAGAAATTCCAACAGTTGCAAATTTTTCTTCCTTTCCTTATTCGTTGTTTATAATGTTAGCTTTTTTGACATGGTCATGAGATTTAACAGTGCTCATGCTTTCTCAATATCCATAACTACCTTGACAATAAATAAAGAATAAGTCTCTATATGCAATAAAGACTGACCAGATATAATTTAGATTCGGTGACTAGTTCCCCGAATACCGTTCCGTAGAACAAACTTGCAGTTTTGGTGGTTTGGTTTTTGTTTGCACGTTTACAGGCGATTTCATTTTTTCAGCTGTTTCACGAAGAGAAGCGCCACGAAACCAGTGTTTTGCTGCAATGCATTCGCTACGTGGTTCAAAACAACTTCTTTCAAGCCGAAAAGACAATGCCACTAAGCGACGGACATCGCACAGCTACATCCGAGCCGCAGACGCCCACCATCACATCGTCGCCTCAATGATAATTGTCATACGTTCATTGCATGCCATTACAACTGATATTAAAACAGATTTGTTCAATTTCAATGCATTAACGAGTAGACAGAAAAATACTAAAACTCAATGAATGAATGAATGAACTCAACTCCTTGAATGCTAATCTGGTGTACTGGTAATTGTTGAACCAGGGCGTTCAGGGATCGATGTCAGGTCATTTTAACGTGGTGGTAACTTGAGAGTACACATAATTATCTGTTTTTGTGATGCTCAGATTAGCCATCTGGAAACTTCACGAATTATTCAGTTCAGAACCTACGGGTAGTGCTGTTATAGATTCATATTGCGAATCCTCGTTTTACCGCTTATTTGCCGTTTTCTTACAGGTAAGTCATCTCCGTCTTCTCAGCACTATCAGCGCCGATCTGTTGAATGTAAAAGATTCCTCGCGTTAACACCCTGTGACCAAGTGAGCATTAGGCATCCCGCTGCAGATGTAAGAATCAGGCCTACAGTTACGTTGTTCAATGTACAATGCTAGCGCCAGAAAAATGCACAAGAGTTAAAGAATATTTTAATCTTTTTTTAGGACATTGATTAAACGTAACAGATACAAAAATAAATTGGTGATGTCCAGATAAAGGTTGATAACGGCAACAATATACTCTTCTGGCGACAGCTTGTTGATGATCAAGTTCAGATCGAAAGTGATAAATAGCGAAAATATGATCGCCCCCGCAAGAGCAAGCACCAACTCTAATACGTCGCTCTGCAGGAACATCTGTACAATTCCGCCAGCAATCAAAACGCATACCAGCGAGTACAGGCTGAAACAGTAACGTGCAAGGTAAAAAATCAGCAAACTTTAATGAACGTTCGTTAAATGACAGATATTTGGCACTTGTTTACAACTTATTATTACAAACAGTATATCTAAAAATACGTCGCTGAGATGGACCTGCTTACGGAGGGGAATATAACCCTTTGCCGCAGCAGTAAACTTTGTCCAATATTAATCCGACACTATTTCTAACGGTTGTACATAAATCTGAACTATTTTGCTGTTAGATTTCTGTTAGCTTCAGATGACAGTGACAGCAAAATTATAAACAAACAACTAAACCATAAGAAAAACATCAACCAAATCGATTATGGATGATGCTGACCTAACTCTGGTAGAAATTAAAATGTAAAACATCCCAATCAGTCGAAGCTTATTAAATTATAATATTAAACTCAGCACAATTGTGCGAGAGTTGTTCAGTATGTAGAACGTTCAACGCAGTCAGGAGATCTAAACTTAGAGCCGTGACAGGATTACTCTTTCATCTTTCTGAAGTAGATGAACAAGTACCACTTCGTGCAAAGAAACAACAGGCCACACGCTATAATCACCTATTAGTAAATATAACTTGAAAACAAGGCACTCATGACAGAAAGAGATGAGCGTCGCATCATAAACTATAAAAAAAGAATGTAACGTTTGTAACCGCCGAAATGTCGGTCACCGTTACACTTTCATGATAGGGATATTTAAGGCGCCTTTCTTCCCATGAAGTTAACGCTGATCTCCTTTTCCATACCATAGAAAGAATAAAAGCACGTAACCTCTTGGTTGTGCGTTCGACGCTCTACCGACTCAGCAACCGCTGTCCACTGAAGTGCAATGGAGAGTGACATTTTAACGTTGCGCGACTTTCTCTCCTTTACTTGCATAGGAGTGCAAATCAGAGATAATGAAATCCACGAAGACATTACAGCACAATAGTTGCCGCATATTTAGATCTCAAACTGAACATTATGGTATAAAATGTTGTTACCATGCTGAGTACTACTGTATTCAACACTAAAGTCCACACGCTATATTGGCACTTTGAAAAGACGGGGCACCGCAGCGGTCGCTGCCGCACTACAACCAACTGCTGAATATGGAGCAAGATCTGCAACGATTTAATATTTCAGGGTGGAGAGACATGTGTGTAGTGTATAGTGTCGACGCTGGTGTAATTAACCTGCCGTTTATTGGATGACGAACTTCATTTTGGAGTCAGGAGTCATAGTTTTTCTAAGCACATTTTGAATGTTTTTGGTACAAAGTTGAAAGATTTGAAGACCGAACATCGTCCTATTGTGCAAGAGATCGGTTCTATGGTGTTCATGTTACTTATGGAATTGCTATGAATACAGAATTTTTACAGAAATTTACCAATGCAAGCCATGTGGCTCGCTGTCAAGATATCTCAGTAATGCGGTCGATAATCTCTTTTATAAAATCTACATGCGCAGCAAGGAATATGAAGGTCACAGAAGAGGTTAAAAGGTTAAAGAAACATGATGAGTTTGAAAGGATAGACGCGAGTTTAAATAGCATACATTTCTGAAAATTTTTAAAAAAAGTAACAGGCAGCCGAGCTGTACTGATCTTGTAAGTATCCTCCTGCCTGCTTATACTGCGATTTGTTCGTTCCAACGTGACTGGTCTAAAGACTTTCATTTACGTCAGTTGGCTTCCGCGCAAAGGAAGCTACTGGTATCCCACTGTATAACGAGGTTCAGTAGTATGCTGTGCCTAGCCACAGCGGAGCCTTTCTCATCTGCTCTTACGAGACAAGCCATGCTTTCACTGACCCCATTCTTCAGTTTCTTACCGGTTTCTTCAATGCATGTCTCCCTACAATATTAAATGCAAAATCTATTTAAACAAACTGATATTTATAAACATTAATCTAAACCCACTGCTTAGATACCCTTTTAAAACTTCTCTGCAAGGTCAGCTACTTTGAAAAGAATGAAGGGCAAATTAACAAAAATAACTATGGCAAATTCCTCGTACCTCGTTCCATAGGCAGAGAAGTCGTGACGTGTTTGAAACGTGTAGAAAAACAGCGTGACGACGACACAGCAAGTGAGGAAGAACGCCTGCACAATCGCAGCTTGGTCGTAGAACGATGCTAAGGTATGAGTTCAAAATCCCTCCGTAAACGATATGATCTCAGCGTCACTTACTGACAACTCCAACGGTGTAAGCTTGGACAAGTGTCTGAAATGAACGACGCCGTTACTCTATCATTGAGATATCAGCGACGTAAAGTAGCATGGTATGACAGTAACAATACGTAGAAATATAAAACACCGGAATAACGTAGCTCCCAATAACACAACGCAACCATCAGAGAATGCAAAAAAGTACGCACAGATTTAAGAAAGAACGGCGTTTAATTCGTGTAACTTTCGGCGACTGTACCCAAAACTTTCTGTACCCAGGTGTGCTATAATCGCATGAAAAAACTTCACCAAAACCATGAGACAGTAAGTGACGCATTTTCGACCATGCCTAACAGACAGATATAACCGTTGACGCGTCGATCGTGGACATGATCGGAGAACAAATGAAGCAGACATCGAGGATTCGTCTCACAAAAAATAAAGTCGCAGTGCGGAAACACTTTACGCGCAGCATAGCAAGCCTCGAAACTACATGCCTTTAACTTGTTCACTCAGGCAGTGACATAGCAGATTCTTGTTTGTACTATCTCTTCCTGTTACTCACAAAATATTTTTTAATACTGTGTTGAGTAGTCCGCACCTCGCGTATAGCTTTCAGACTTAGGGAAATGTTTCATATCCACTGGCTACCACAGGAGGCAAACACTTATCGAAAGCTTCCCATTTCAAGCACAAGGGCAGTTTCCCGGGGAGGACCATTTCAGTCTTCCAAAAGTGCTCCATGCTAGTTATATTGTTCTGTTGATTTCGCAGAGTCGGGTCCCGCTGCAGAGATGAGTTGTCCTATACAGACGTAGTTTTGCGCATCTTTCAGATTAAATCCACTGATCTGAACAGGTCGCGAGGTAACGCAGTTGTTAAACATGATCTAAGTGTTCTCTATGTTTATTTTCAACTATGCTTTGACGATGGAGTCGTTCACATTTTGATTCTTCTTTGGAATGGTTCTGATGACCACGAGAGGATCAGAATATCGACCGCAAAATAGAAGTGGCTCAAGCAGAGTCCGTTTGTATCCAGCCCCCGATTTTGGCAACGGAGTATTTTGAAAAGCTCTACTAGGGCTGGCATGAATAATTTCGTGATAATCCGCCCCCTTTTCTGATGCCCTTTACGGTTTCAAACGTGCATGTGCTTTCCTGAAGCCTCGCGCTAGCAGCTGAATTTTTGTAAATCATGGCAAAACAGTTTTTGGATATTTTCTCGATTTTTTGACTCCTAAAGGAATCCAGAACAGATCAAATGTAGACTGAGTCGAAAGACTGTATGTAGACCAGAAATAGACAAATCCCAAGGCAGAGAAGAAGATGATATCTGCTGCTTGTCTGAACTGCTTGCTGCACCACCTAGAGAAAATCCACAGTACTAAATTCACTTGGGAATCCTGCTTGCTCTGTTGACAAAGTCCAGTTTCTCTTTAAGTCTGTTCGTCAATACCAGTGAAAATCGTGTAGATGACTGACAACAGAGTGTTCAGCCTGCAGGTCTTCAGATCTTCTTTGTTTCGTTTTTTGTAGAGTATCGTCCACAATTATATTCCACACAAGCAAGCAAATGCGATAAATACATAAATATTAGGAGACGTTTTCATAAACAAAAAAGTCCAATAAACGTTAACCTACCCAAAGTGCAAGCAGGATGTAGTTGGTGGGCGTCCGGTGTCGTTTCACATACATGGCAATCAGAAGCACGAACGACAGAATGAGTCCCAAGAACAGCATCCATGTCCTAAGACAAAAGGATAGAATGGCGGTCGCAATAGTAGTAAAGGAGCTGCATTCACCAGTGTCGTACGACGGCCGCAAGTCCCGGTACCAACAGAAACGCCGCGCCGACCACGGTGCTGGCCACCAGCTGGACTGCCAGGATGCCAAGCACTTTCCTGATGAACCCTTCACAAGCAAAACAGTTATCGTAACGGCAACAACGCTCTTGTCTCAAAACTGAAATGCACCACAATATGGAACTGCTCTATCTATGCAATGACGAGTGATGGATGAGCTTCATAAATTTCACAATTCTCTCGATTCCTGACTGTAACACTATGGCTCAACTCTGCAGTAAAAATTGGGACAGCATTTACAATTGCTAAAAGCATAGCCTGTTGCCCTCGTTTCAGAAAACGGGCAACGATACAAAAAATGAATAACTATAGAGGTAGAAAACAAAGGATGAAGTATGAGACGGCTAGCTAGCCCGTTTTATCACAACTACAGATGTGCACTTACGAGAGGTCATTGTTTCAAAGAAGAAAGCTAAAAGCAACGTTGAATAGTGCAGACAAAATTTCTCCACCCCTAGCTAACTCCACTGTATTCGATGAAGACAGCAGAGGATTATTTGGTCGGTGTCTGTAAAATATAAGGATTGCGAGTCAACAGGCAAACTGAGACGGTGACGCCAAGAGATCAAGCTTCCTTCTGTGACCTGTCATCAATGATTAGCCTAATTGCAGGCTTTTAATAAGCTGTTTATTTAAGATGTGAACTTGCCTACTGAATTTGAATTCTTGGTTGTGAATCCGCAGTCGAAATCTCCTCACATACTTGTGCAGCATTGTTTATGCTTTTAACGAACGCACAATATCCTTTAGCGGCACCGTTCCATTGCTTTTAGTCGTCTAAAGGATCGCTAAAGCAAACAGTGAATCCATGGGTGCATGGGCGCAAAACAGCACCACTCAGTCGGGTCGAACAACAATTTGTTAGAATGCCAAAAGATATACAACGCCGTGTAAATCCGGAGAAGTGACAAACTACCATTGTTGCCGACGGTATTAAAAACTAGCGGTCTGCAAATAAATTCGGGGTTAATTTCAATTATACCAGAATTACTTTATTATTGGAAGATAATACAGAATGTGGAAAAACCGCGCTGAGGCAGACTGGCTTGCGAAGAGAGATGTGACCACTGTCAGTGAAAGTTTCCTAATATCAGTCTGGAGTTCTAACGGTCAAACATAAATCTGGGTTACTGTGCTGCTTAAGCGCCATTCACGTCAGATGACGATGACAAAACAACATCAACAATAGCTTTTGGAAATATGATTCAGATGCCCAGAGGATCGTTTTCCTGGAGCCTTATCTACTGTACTATAATGAAATGATTTGGACGAGTAGCTGCGACGGTTCAAACACTTCCTGTAAATGCTTCCCAAAAGGAAGAAAAAAAGCTACTACTTTGTCAACCGACTGATCGAAGACCCCGGTGACGGTCAAGATTAGCCTGGAAGCAAGTGCATCGAAAGGCACTATTTCAGACACGGGTTATCTTCTGCGAAGCTCAAATGCTTTCAAAGAATGAGGAATGCTGAAGACACCATCTGACGCGACCAGCCTGCTTTCGCGACCCGAAAGGACAAACGGTCGTCGAAACTAAACTAACTGACTGACTGACGCCCAGAGTATGTACATAAACTCCTCGGTTCATCATAGTGGGCTTAACAGTGTTAAAGTGTGGGCCCCGTATTCTTAAACGCCCAAGAGACATGAAAGACCCGCACAGCTTCCGCAGCATGTTGACAGATGCAGTGCTCTTATATTTACAACTCAGAGCAATTCTTGCTCGTCAATGACAATGTTCGGACAGCTGCAACTCTTTCCATGTCTCTGCAACAACACAACAAAAACGTGAGACCGTTTACGAGCGCATGGTTCGTCTAAAGCGGTTTCGATGGCGTAGTAACAGCACCCCTGATCCATAGTTTCTTAAGCAAACTACCACTTCAGGGTATTTGAAGAGTTGCCTGTAAAGAGGCTGACTCTTAACACATCACTGATAACGAAAAACGCATAAAAATCTAGTATATAAAACAATGTCTGAATGTGCCAAATGTGCTAAAACAACATTAAGCAATTTGGGCAGACTTAAGGATTGTGGTACAACGGAATGGAATCCAATTTAGCGAAGACATGCGCTTATTTAAAAGCGTAAAACACCTAACTGGTTCAGAGTTAGGTTCACCATGACTTCAAACGTAATTAAACTAACATCATAAACAACAGGTTATAACCGAAGTCATCGTGCTGCCTAGCTTTTGAACAAATAATAGCACTAGACTAGTTACAGTCAAACTGGTTTCATGCTTAAAAGGCAAAGGCAAGTCGCCAGGTAAAATCGTTTTTTTACAACATCGGTTACAACTGATCACACATGAACTTTTTACGGTGGCCTGATATTCGCTATCTGTCATAGAAAACCCTTTACTTTAAGAGGGTCAAGCAATCATGTCATACAACTGCTTTCATAACCAACCAGTAGTTTTAAGTAGCGGCCGTTACTGACTGATACGTTTAGGCGTTGCCAACTTGATGCGGTCATCTGACAATCAGACTAGCGCCAGGTGCTGGATTCGAGCCGCTATAATACTAGGTATTCAACAATCGCAAGTCATATAGCCTTTGGGCTGCTCGTTGGCCGCATGTAATGACCAGATGCCTAAACCATCGCGACTGCGATTGCTCGATCTCAATAAAAGGTGGCTGATATGCGAGAGTATCTCGGTCTCTACAGCTCGTCGAGGCTCGTGACACCAAGCCAATCGACGACCATCTCTGTTAAGTGATCTCCAATGGTGACACGTCATGTCTAAAAACTGGTATCCCTCATAAAAACAAGCCCGCATAAGCATCGCGGCATTCGACACATCAGCAGTCGATCCATCATCATCGACTTGTTCGTAATTCGGTCCGGGAGTTTTAAGGCGCAACGCTGAACTAAACGATCGCTGGAGATGAAAAGTACACTCGAAAATACCAAATCTTCTACTTGACAAGAAGACAGAAACTGAATCTTTAATGCGGGAATCAAATTCAAAAATGTACTAATTTTTACGGGTGACACGACAATACAAACTTATTTCGTACAGGATCTCTCACCTTTCGGATCATAATCGATCCGTCGGCAGGGAATCAAATTAGACAGAGCAAATGAATGCTACAGTTAACACCTTGTCTGGTTTTAGTTCGTGATATGAAGACTGAGGATGAAGCAAAACGGAAGAAATTCTGCACATAATAAATTTCTTATGCCGTATCATTACGTAAACTGCGCACAGCAGCATTGGCTTCGACACAAAATGAGGGTTAAACGGCAGGACTACGTAAAGAAAAAAGACTCCGTTCTCTTCCAGGCATAAATAACCTCAACCGATGTGGAGATTAAGAAAAGAAGCTTAGCCGTGCTGGACAGCAGGTTGAGACAAACCATTTACTCCTGCGCATGAACTTTTTGTGTTGGAGCGAAAACATGGCTGCGGTCGATCAGAAGGACAACACACAACAGAGGAACAAGGTACAGACAAATCTGCTTTCGGAGAGAAATATTTCCTTCTACGTTTCAACAATCGATAACTTATAGCAGAAGAGTTAAAAAGCTGCGGATAGAGCCGATATCAATAAACCACAGATATTCTGCTTATGCAGACTGT